GTCAAGTCACGATACGTAAAAAATGATATTCAAAATTTCCAGTCACTTTCACGCTAGAAGCGACATTCGATTTTTCTGACAAACGATCGCGAGAATTTACTTCTTATTATTTGACATCGTCTTATCAAGCTGAATGTAAATTGAACAGGTCTGAATAAATTCCAACGCAAAAACGTAAATCAAAGCTTTCACATTTATTATTTTAAATCCGAATGAAAGGTAAATAGAAACGTCGTCAATCAAATAGATAATAAAGAAAGCTAGCAAAAAGAATCAAAAATATCATCTCGACTTCGACATATATTTATATGTTTCGTACATATTCAATCAAAATAATTTCGCATTATTGTTGGTGTGTTAGTGTAATTAACAAACGTTTTTGAATTAAAATCTTAACCCGTTTTATGATGTTACCTAAATACGGATTACCTACAGATCGGTTAATTCGATCGCTACCACTAAATCGGAATTCTATAGTAAGCTCGTAATAATTATTAGTCCTAGCATACATTGGCTATGAGATGTACGATATACATATAACAGAGCTTGCGACCAAGCCACCTAAACTATGACCTAATTCCTTAACTTGGATATAGGGATATAGTTACACCGAGAGAAAAGTTCTCCAGGGAGCAGTCTAGTTCAATAACTTTTAAATAGTTCTAGCTAGGTGTAATTTTAGTGTCAATGTAAACTATTCTTTGATATACATGCTGGCACTTTCTGTTTGTACCTAAAGGTAGATAGCAGTTTCAATTTGAATTTGGAAGAACAAAAACAAGTAAATCGTCTATTTGAGTTTTGCACGTTGAGCTTCTATTAAGCAATGCATGATTGTAATTAAAACGTTTATCCAATGTCAGACTTGATTGAAGATTTTTTTTTACAATTAGCATGAGGTTTTTGAGTGATTTTAAAAAAAATTACGTAACGAGGTTTCCCGAGCTCATTTGTATTCATGGTACGGAATACATTTAAAAGCATTTACGTCTGTTTCAGGTACTGAATTATTAAAACATTTTTCATGATCCGGTTACAGAATAAAAGAGAGCTTTAGCGCAATTAATATTTAAAAACTTAACCTAATAGTTTTTATAAAGATAATAGTTTTTCAGTTGTTCGAATTTAAGTCGAAACATACCTTATTTTTTTATCCCGTCTAAAATTTTAAAATGTACGTATTAAAGTAATTGTTGTCGCAATAAGACTCGTCTTGTGATTATTTGTAGCTTTTTCATTCTATATCTGCATTACTTTAGGCTCCCTTAGCGACTACTTCTATAAATAGATACCTATTTTCAAAAAAAAGTGTTGTACATTTCTCAGGAAAAAGATAACAATAAAGAACCCACGAGATTCAAGTTCTCTAAAGAACTCGTATGCTACGTATCTTTTGTTTTGTTGTTGTGACAAAGTTTGCTAAAGTTCTTAACTTTAAATAACTTTTAAAGACTGCCATTTATACCTCTTCTGGGCGAAAAACTAAATATAAATAGTAACATAGTTCAGATTAAGGAGATAATGGTGAAATTACATTTCATTTCTTAAAATAAATTTCATAACTGCTTTCTTTCCGAAATACCGTTTAGATTTAAATATCTTTCGTAGATTGTAGGTAAGATAATGCAATCGGGCTGTCATGGTCCGAGACAAAACGTAGAGCCCAGGACAGAACGAGTTGGCGGCGTACTGGGGATGCCCTCTGCCCCACTTTGGGGACATAGTACAAGAAGAGAGAAGAGGGAGGGTAAGATAATGTGTTGTTAGAGTGTTAGCGAGTCTATATTTACCTAGAATTTAACGCTAAATCGAAATATCTTAAACGAGATTAATGTCAGACAGTGTGGGTTGACTCAACGTTATCTCAAAAAATATATTTTTTTGTTTTATTCTTCACTAAGACTTAAAAGTCTAGATTAATTATCTTTACTTAACTTTCAACAGCAATTATGTGTCATATGCCAAATACGTTAACTGAAAAAATAGAAATCAAGCAATCGCATTTTTATTTGAAGGAATCAATCTTAAAAGATATAAAAGAAAGACCGGAGATTAAATGTTATCCACATTTTATTTATAGTAAAGCCTCAAACGGTTCAATCTCAATAAAATGTCGCGAAACATAAATGATACATTGTTCGAATAGAAACAGATCTGTGAATAAAACAATTTTTATAGAACAGCAAAACAAAGAATCTATTCAACTATACTGTCAGGTCATATCAACTTTGGAACTGTCATCGTAAGCTGAAAATGAAATATAATCTTTGTAAACTGGCCACACTATTCACTACATTATTATACCATTAATCCTTACTTAATAATACCCAACAAGAAATACTATTAGTTAGTCGTTAGACAAGCGACTAAGATCGATTACTCAAGCCAGTTATATTTCAATACTAAGTCGCCTCAGACGTTTTGCAAGAAATATGCCCATTGTGTTTTGTAATATCTCCTATCCAAAAATGTCATTGGCTCTTAGCATTTCGATTGATAATAGCTTAAAAAATAAATTTATATTTGTATAAAATTGTATTCATTAATAATAGAAATCTTACATCCTTACAAATAAACACGGTATAAAGTTAAACTAAGGAATAAACTGAGTATAAGCAAAAACTGTTTCACTCTTATTTTAATAAACGAAAATAAAGAGGTTACATGTATACCTAGTAAATAGATTGAATGTTTATCTTAAAACAAATCATAAAAGTAAGTTAAGCTAATAGATTGGGCCTTCGCACTTGAAGGATCAACCAGGATTCGCTCAAATAACTAAATATCTCTAGCAAACAGGTTCCGACCAAATTAGAAAATAACGATTTGTTATAACGTTAGATAACAATATAAAACTACTTTTGAAGGTGACTTCAAAATGTATATTTTTATAAGAAAAATGTGATTTCATAATTTTGAATTAGGAAAACCGAATTGCCGCATTAGATTCTGGATTTCCGAAAAGAGCGATACTAGAAATCAGAAAATACTTTTGGGAATATTTCAGGAAAATACTTGGATTTTTAAATAACTGTAATAAAATTTAAGATTTTTGCCTTTTAGCTCTCTTTTTTAGGGATTAATAAAGTACATTACGCGAAATTCGTGTGCCAAGATTTTCTTCGTGACAATTAAAATATTTCCAAGCTTTTGTAAAGTTTTCTGTATTGATTTATAGTGTTAGCTGACACATAAAACTTATATATTTAAAACTAAGTAGTTAGAAGTAAGTATATGTATGTATCTGGTGAATTTCTGCAGATTGTTCACCGTAGACAAGTGATTTCAAAATTATCGTTCTTTTTTAGCCTTCTCTTGTTTCCATGCACAGTAATATCAGTACCAAAATTTAAATGGATGTGGATGATTTGTTAGTACGTATCTCTAAAACAGCTTAACGGTACTTGTTATGTTTACTTTGCTATATGTACGTTTTTTTTTCTTTTATTATTATTCTTATTGTAGTACAGTACACTAATATAAGATGCTGTATGGAAAAAATATCTTGCTCACATCCACGAAATAAGTGTCACATTTCACTGACATAATTAGGTTCCTAATGTGACAGGAAGAGGATTGTGACATGTGTTCCGGAAATATTTTTATCAACAGATTATTACTTGTTAGAATATATTTAAGTACTAGATTTTCCCGCGACTCTGACCGCGTAGAATTAAAAAAAAAGTAAGTAGCTTATGTTTTCTTCCAGACTATCCCCTACATCTATGCCAAATTTTATCTAGATCCGTTGCGCAGTTTAACCTACAAACTCTAACAAACTGTTATCCATCTAATTTTTCCCATTTCTGATATTAGTAAGATTGTTATTGTAAACACTTTTGTTCCAATATCTTTTATGATGGCTAACTTATTATTTGCCCCATGGTATTGAGTCTCGACATTTATATTAAATTTCCTTGTTGCTCTTTCAAAGGCGATTCCTAACAAAGCAATTATTTCAGTGAATAAAATCTGAGAATTCAATTTCACAAATTTATTCCATCCCTTTACTAGAGGTTTCGGTTTATTTTTTCTTTTTGAATTTCCACTTTTCCATTCGATGTTTTTGATTTTTAAACTTAAGGAAAATTTTTGCCTCAATTACTTTCGATTCTCCTATTCGAAATTATTGCGAAATATTTGTTTATTACTTGATTACTTTTATGCGTGTATTTTTCGTTTTATTCCCTTGAAGAGAATAGCAACAACAAAACTTAATTATGTCTGTGAACGTCATTAACGGCACATCATTTCAACAGGTCTCGATCGTAAATTGACACATAAATCGCCAAATCTGTGACATCTTTAAAAACCCTTATCAGGACAATATTACCTGTTGGTGTATCTTTATATCCCTGGAAAAGTAATTCTCGTGACCTGATCATGACTTCCAACCTTATTTATTTTATAACTTTATTTTCCGGATATTAAATAATTTAAAAATTAAAATCAATGACCAAAGAGGACACAAGCATTCACATTTTTGACCATGATTTTTTTCATTTATTTTATTTATTTAATAACGAGAATATAGCATCTTTACAGAATAAATCTAATGTGACACTATATCTACATATGTGATAATACATAATATTAAAAGTAATAATAATAATATTTAAGTTAAAAATACAATAAACAACTGATAATGAAGAATAAAAAAATCAAATTGTACACAGAAACAAAAAGAAGAATATAACAACATATATCTAAATACCACCATTTGCCTCGCCCTCGACACATCTGTATGCAGCCTCTGTGAATTTCGACTCATTACAACTAAAGATATCTATATCTTCAGAAATGATATTGAGCAGACGTATGGCGCGCGACATTGGGTCATTTTTCATTAAATTTGTACGCGAAAATATTGATATTGTTTAGGTAACCTTTAAAAAACACTGCATTGAAAAGCGCCTCAGTTGACGGATCCAAATGGAATCGTAACCTTCCTTTTCCTATTTATTTTCATGAAAAGGAAACGTAATGTTTTAAAGGAAAACCTATATATTAGGCAATATAGCCTCATGTAGGCTTACAAGAGTGAGAGCACATGCTCGAGATGATTTTACGAGCACGTAGTAGCGGACACGTGATGGTAATGCGAGACGATTCGAGAAAGCTTGCCGGATGACACGTGACATGTCTTGTTTGGGGCCCCAACTGTATGTTCTACAAAAATAATGGCACCTTATAAACGCGTACTTGCCTCGTTTGTTATTGTTAAATTATGTAACGCATAACTATTAACTTTAATAAACTATAGGCGATCGTTTTTCTCATTGTTATTGGTTGAAAATTTAGAACAGTTAGGTAGTCAGTATTGATCAGAGGCTAATAACAGTTTTTTTTGTTTGTCTGCACAAACTCAACTGGTATAAATAATATTTACATGATCACTCATCCATACATACAATAAAAATATAGATAACGAGTAAAATAAATACTTATTTCCATAAATGGAGTAAAACTTTTACAACCAATGGGCAGGTGGAGAGTACACTATACTATAATTACGCTCCAATTCACTTTTATAACGAGGGTAGGCTTTTACTCTCCAGACAAATACAACTTTTTTTTACAAGTAATCGGCTATTTGTAAACTAGAGTAATTATTTAATATATCGTTGTTTGTATACGTTTACACTTTTGCTTTGAAAACAGTATAAATTTTATGAAAATGCCAGGTAGAAAATAATACATAGGTAGTAGCCAGCTTAATAATGGCAAACAAATTGTTTTATGTCTTAAGTGTAGCAGTACCATTTATAATATCGTTATTAATATTATTCTTATTTACTTTAGTAACCTAGTCGACACGATTTAACTGAGCTTAGCATTTCATATATATTATGCGAATAAAATTCGTAGCACTGCTACGATGCCTACGCGATGTACGCAAAGCTTATACGAAGCCGAAAATCCCTTATAGTAAAATTTCGATCACGATTATGGACCGATGTTATACGAAAATCTACTCAAAGAGTAAATTTCACCTCACTCAAACCTGCAAAGCCGATGATCTTTTGAGACGGATCTCTTTGAGATTGAAAATATTTCGATACATTTTAACAAGTTACGATGTTTTTTATTTTCATTTTACGGTATGAAAAACTGTAGTAGTTAACAAGTACAATAAGTTTGAACAAATATTTTAACTTATGTAGATGAGTAAAAAACGCATATGGTTTTTCTGGCTTGTTTTCAGTAAATAGTTTATATTTAAATTTAAAATACTTTCTATAAAAAACTGACGCGTATAGTAAGATAGGAGTAATGTAACAAGGAAATAACTTTTTTCATTGAGCCGTTAAATCAAGGGCGATGTCACTAAGCTTATTTTAGTAGGGTCAACTTTAATACTCGCTATATCTCGAGCAAGCTGGAGGCCTCCGTTCTCCGGCTCTAATTACATTATCTCAAGTCAAAATCTTCATATTTTGTTTTACACTGATTTTTTCTTCTCATGTCTTAAGGAAATACAAACCTTGTACGAAGCTAAGTAAATATTCACTATTATTAATTCTCTTCGTTGAAATATAACTTGTCGAATCCACCAAATGTCGCGACAAAACCAATTACCATAGCATTTAGTTCCACGGTGTTTGTATTTCGTAGAGCCTTACCTTAGAGCCACCTGGAAACTAATATCGAAGAGGATAATATAAAAAAATGTCGAAACGTGCTTATAATGGTGATCCATCAAACGGTGTTAGCGTACAGTAATTACGAAAACAATGTCATTTTTGTTTGTTTTAAAACGTCTGCACAAAATATACCTTTGGTGGTTTCAATATTATACCATAATATATAGTCTAATGGTGAAATACCGAATTATTCTAAATTAGTTTGTACTGAAGTATTAGTGTGTAATGTTGAAGTGTATTTGAAACTGTAGTAAATGACAAGAGAAATTCAATCATTTTGAGTAATTGTAAGTTTCATTTGATGTGCTAAACCTTTTGGACCCACATCTATAATCCTGCCAGACCTTGCCAGACATTCTTAGTAGTAGTAATTAAACTACTATTTATTTAAAATTAGCTGTTACCCGCGACTTCGTCCGCGTGGTATTAGAAAAAATACGAACTATATAAATAACAAAAAGCTACGTATTCCTCGGGAACCGGACATTTCTCGGGGATGAACCTTATCCCATGTGTACTCCAGACTTTGTTGTATATCTGTGCCAAATTTCAATAAGATATGATGAACCGTTGCAGAATGATCGAGTAAATAATAAAAAAACTAAAATAGTGAATCCCACGGGAACCGTAACTATACCCGGGATAAAAAATAGCCTATGCGTTCTTCCAGACTATGCTCTAAACCTGTGCAAATTTTTATGGAGATTCGTTCAGCCGTTTAGGCTACAAACGCTAAGAAACGTCCATCTAAACTGTCGCATTTATAATATTAGTAAGATATGATTAACTTTTATACGGCATTACGTTTTTTTTTTATTGAAATTTTGATTCGTTAGTACATGTCAGTCCCATAATTACGTTATACAAAATATTAACATATTATCTGTACTAATATTATAAAGAGGAAGGATTTATATTTTTGTATTTTTGCAATTTTATGTATTTATTATGTATTCCATTAAAAAGAGACATTATCAGTGAGTAATATAGGCTATGCTTTTTCTTTAATTTCAAGCGGGTAATTATTATATTCAATATTACGAAGACAAATAATAAAAACAACGAAAAGTACATATTTATAAATACTTACCAAAATACTATAAGGCCTTCAGCACCATGCTACGAACTTCATCTGCTACGTTCGTCAAAGGAAAGCAGTGATAAAAGTTTATTTTATATTAAAGCATTTTATTTGACTTAATGGTTTTTTAATTAGGAAAGGATTAGTTAATTCGTTGCTCATTTAAATTTATTACAAGGGTACGGAATTAATTAATTTACATTAAAATATCCGGTAAGCTTAATTACTTGTATTCAAAAGCTGTTCAAAGTTTAGTAATATTTATTTAAAAGGAGGATTATGTCGCTAAAATTTTGTCCCAAATTGAGAAATAATGAGGGACGAAGAAAATTAATTTGGTTTATCTTACCTTAATTGAAAACATTTATGTCTTTTTATGAACTCAGTTTTGTTAATATTCAGTGTTTTTAAGGACACAAAACAAAGTCGTGTAATTTTATTGACTAGCAGTCCGTCCCTGCTCTACTCGCGGGAATATTTAAACATCTTATGTACACTTTTAAATATACCCTATGCGGCCCAAGGATAATGTATCATTCAAACGGTATTATCAATTGTAAATAAGTAGTTTTTAGTTCAATAGTTAACTTCCATTTGTTTTCGATAAAGTTTAAAGCGACTGTATACTGAAAAAAAAA